GTAATTGTTGAGACGGTATAGACAAAAGCTCCTGAAGCGGAGGAATGCCGAGGTTATCTTGCTATCCTTGCGTTTCCTTATCACCCTGTGGATAAATATTGGTATATCATAGGGGAACTGAGGGCCGGCGAAACCCTATAACGCATTGTTTTGATTGTTACAATACACAGGTGATCTACATGAAGATATGTGGCTCTCTGTATTCGAGCAGGAGGATCAGGCAGCGTCAGTGTGGGGGGTCGGGAAGGGAAGGATGCTCAGAATGAAAAGCCATTTTGAGTGAGGAGGTTAAGCGACTGGCTTTTAATAAACGAGCCCTTATTAAAGGATGAGTACATTCCCCTGCAGATAAAGGGTCGTTTTGCATTGTGCTCGTTCCCTCTCGGGAATAGTCCTCCTAACAGGGTGTTTGTCTCCAACTCCCCTGTCCTCAATCTCATTAAATAACCTACCCATCTACATTATCTACCCACCTTCGCCTCCCTCTTTCTCATCTCTGTGCATCTCTTCCATTCACAACACCCCTCTTATTTCTAAACAAACACAAAAATTTAAAATACAATTTCTCACACAATACGTGAGGTGATTGCCCATAGCATTATGTGCAATTATAAGCTTCATTTTGGTGGCTTTGTCCCCAAACACCTCACCGTTGCAGCCCTTCGACTGGGCCTGGGTAGGTCCATGCAGGATTACTGCCGCGTTATTAGCCAGGGCCCGGGTGCCTGCCTGCCTGCTTGAGTGTCAGGCTGCCCATCCATCCCCCATGGCGGGTGGGTTTGTTTGAGATGGCGGCCTGTCTGAATAGCTGACTGATAAACATCTGGGGGGCTTTGCCAGGACATTGGAAAATGAGGGATCAGAGAGACATCCAGAGGCCCGGAAAAATACAAACGCGTAATGAGAATATAAATTAAATGAGAGAGAGAGAGAGAGAGAGAGAGAGAGAGAGAGAGAGAGAGAGAGAGAGAGAGAGAGAGAGAGAGAGAGAGAGAGAGAGAGAGAGAGAGAGAGGAGAGAGAAGAGAGAGAGAGAGAGAGATGCTCATCAGCTAATTACAGCTGCAAATATATGTAGGCCTACATTTATCCTGGCAAGGCATTGAGCGGACCCGATGCGGGCAATGTGCCAATTGGCTTCAAAACAACACTTTCTTTCACATTATTATTATTATTATTATTACTATTATTATTATTATTATTAATATTATTTGAATTCAACAAAGATAACCCAAACCACGGTCACTTACTAGTTATCATTATTATTGTTAAGTTATAGCTACCATCATATTCTTGTTAGAAAACGTAGGTCTAATGTTTGCTTCCTATAGCTAGCTACTAGCTACTATAGCTAGTCCTATACACTGTGTACAGCCAATTTTGTCCATGCCCCCCATCATAATTTCAATAGGGTGGCATACTACCCAAGAACAATGACACCACCGTGCCCAGGATAATCCCCATCCAGCAATTACAGTCCCAAACATATTCAATGTTTACACACTGCTACATGCCCCGTTTTCCAACTTATAATGATTAATGATATTTCGCCTAGGATTAATCATAGAAAATTAAAAATCTTGGAGGTGGTTAGATGGAGAGGTGGAGGGAGGGGTCGTGGGGGGGGGGGGGGGGGGGTGAAAACAAATTAGCCTTCATCGAATCTTTTTAGATGCAAATATTTTGTTATCTCCACTTAACTGCACTGTTTTCACTGTTTATGATTAATTATCTCTTCTTGGTGAAAAATAAATCATGCAAAATTAGGATCTCGCTGGCTCCACCGGCTAGAGCAGCGATGGCAGGTCGATGCTGTTAATTCCAGGTTGAAATTGACACACTAATTATGCTGCAGAGTGGCGCTGGAACACTAGGAGGCAAGATTATACCTCTGCAGTTCTATTTTTTTTATCAGATCCCCCTTATATTTTACCAATTAAAAATCGTAAAGGCATTTCATTGCCCCGGGATAAAAAAAAGCAGCCTCTCTCCTAACATTGGCCATCACTTTCCCCCATCAGATTCATTGTGATGTATTAGATGCAATAAATTATCCCATGTAACAAAACATGGCGAGCTGAAAGGCTGGTAATCTGCAGAGGAGAGATAAGGATTCATTATTCCAAATCATTATGAATCCGGCGTTGGCTGTGACTTCTTTCTTAATCAGCTTCTGTGATCCTGGATACGTGAAGGGAGCAGATAAGAGAGGAGTCGTTTATAATTCTCCCCACCTCGGCCTAATATTTTAAAATAAAATCGCAGGGAAGAAGAAGCTGCCGTATATAACAAAAATACTGGCTTACGTTTGGAAGGCGCACATGAGAAGAATAATAAAACACATGGAGAAAATAAATAAGTAAATGAATGAAACACCGCGGCCTATGGATTTAGGAGGCGTTTTGTCTCACATTAAGGTCATCCTTGACATCTTCACATAAGCAGCAATTGGCTATGGTTGGCTGACGCCATAAGTTACAAGGTGCCTTTAATTGAGTGTATCTATTTAAACTGATATGGTATGGACATTAGCCCTATCTGGCTTTGGTAGGCTATATTAGCAGAAATGCTATTAGGTGTAGGGTCAATAACGACAATAATACAACAATGCGATGAGTAGCCTAATGCAGATAAGACCTACATGTGCATATATAATCACTAGATTAAATAGTTGATTGCAAAAGCATGATAAATTCCAGTGGCAAGGCGCAAATGGAAATCTAGCTAAAAAGGTATCCAAACAATTAAACTTGGAGGACATGTATGCTGCAAGTGTTTAAACTGGCCAGCTTGTTCTATGATGCCAAAATTAATCGGGTTATGAACATGATATCATAATCCCTCATTCTATCTGCTGATAAGATTCATCGTTATAAATACCAAAAGGGGCATAAATAAATAAATAATGCGCAAAAACACGAACGTGTAGCCTACTTGCATTATACTTGAAGGTTTACGCTCAGCTGTTGTCAGCACGCGCTGTCACGCAGGAGCTCACGTCAAATTCCACATTAATCACGCGATTTCATGCCATTACTAGAGTGCACGCGGGAGAAAAGAGGAGAGTGACTTTGGACTTGGCCGTGCTCGCGCTCACAGACATCACTGAACCAAAAATGGCCCCAGAATCAAAATGGAGCCTCGTAAAGCTGTGTGCCTCAGAAAATCTGTTTTCTTTTCGTTTAGGAGAAACACCCCACAAACATGATCATGGATACTTAATTTAGAAGGCTTAATTTATTTTGCGTGTCACATATTTCTGTTCTGTTTGCAAATGGTTGATAGGAAAAAGGGGGATTCATTTTTTAGCTGTCACATTTAATTATATCCCTAAAATGAATGAAACTAATTAATTCTTCAGATATGTTATTTCTTCAGACGTTAATAATATTTGTACGGCACTTACAATAAGTCCTAATCATCTGCGGAATATACAGCGATTTGACCTTTGTTTTTACTATATCGAACGCATCAGTATGTGCATTTATCATCGAAGCATAATTACCAACACCTTTATATATATTATATATATTGAAATTGCGAAGCCATTTATTTTTTAATATGCACTTTATTTACGTCTAATACAAGCATATTAAATAATTAACATCTGGATGTGTTCTTTTGTAATTCTATTAAAAATATTGAAATACTAATTCTATAAATGAAAGCTTTTGTTGCCCCGAAATCATTGAATTATTCATTGGTTTAAAAGACACATTTTGGCTGGTTGCTTCGGTAAGTTTATACAGCGACGTTCGCGCCAATTATCTTTAATTTATTACCTTAATTGAATTTCTTCTCCAAAGATAGATTTTGGTGTGATCAGTTTACATTTTCCTTCAGAGTCAAGGCGCAACGTGAGATATCAAGCCTCCAGCATCAGCACAATTCTCTCTCTCTCTCTCTCTCTCTCTCTCTCTCTCTCTCTCTCTCTCTCTCTCTCTCTCTCGCTCTCTCTTTCTTTCTCTCTCTTTCCTCATTCTCTCTATTTTAGAGGAGGAAGACGGAAGATGGATCAGTTTTACTTGGTGTCTATTTCAAACATGGTGTCTGTGTAAGCAGATATTGGTGTATAGCCTATGCATTTGTTTGTTTTCACAAAAAATATGTAGGCCTTTTATTAATAGTTTAAATAATATTATTAAGATACTGTACATCTATAGGCCTGAAGGACAACATTGCACGTAAACACCAGTTTCATATTTTTACACCATTTCATACATAGCATGGGGAAATTCAATAGGCTACAAATATTATGGATGTGTAGTTCTGCAACTTTATTTTAGAAAAGTAATATGTGTTAAATATCAGTGTTAATAGATCGAAATTAATATATGAACTAAGCTACTTTATTTCTGAATATTTTGAAAGAAAATAATGTCGATTGGCCTACACCATGAATACTATAATCCTAATATCCATTGGTGATGATGGCATATAGTGGTATAGGCCTATGCCATAGTAAAATATAGGATTACTGAGATAGCCTATGTCATCCTAACAAAAGAATGCTCAGGAGTGTGTTTGTGTGTATATGTGTGTGGACGTACCTTTTTACGCATGCATTCAAATGGTCGATGACACGCAAATATTGATTACTGAGAGTTGCAATCAAATATGATTTTCATTTTTCGAAAGGCAATCAAACTAGACACAGATAGAAATACTAAGCAATATAATGCATGCCGTGCTACGTGATTTCTAACGCACAATGCACTATACCATCCCATGATTAGTTAGCTACAAGGCTAAGCTATAGGCTACTTTAACAGTGTTAGCGATGCTACAAATACGAGCCGACCAAATACTACAGCAGCTACATGCGCCATAAACAGCAGTCCAACTCTCTGACCTCATAAAGTGACAAAATGTCTTAATAGGGGTCTAGGGGCATTCGGTTTGACTAACTATGTTTTTCCTCCGTAGACTCCACCGACCCGGAAGAGCTCTGATCTGAATGTTCAGATGCTTTGGTTGGCCTGTAGGAGTGTGTGCGCGCGCGTGTGTGTGTGTGTATGAGTGACTCTGGGCTGAGGGCGCGCGCGCCTCGGTTTTTTCCGCTGCGCAGCTCGCTCTCTCTAAATGCCATCGGCGCTTCGATCTCCATGTCACTCTTTCCTCACATCTGCAGCCGATCAGAAAAAGAAAAAAAACGACCACGAACCTCTATTCCACAGGTCAGTAAATATTTAGATTTCTATAAAGCAAGTCTGTCTGTCTGTCTTTCTGTCTGTCTGTCCTTTAGCGAAGAACACAAAGTATAGCTCTTAAAGGTACATAGTGGTCTCTTCCAGCCTCCATCTGTGTGTTCTGTCCAGTCAGGCGTGTGTCAAGAAATGAATTGATGAGCAAGTTTGTTCCATGGCTTTAAAAATGTAGATTTTCGAAAATAGCGTTTTTGTAGAGCATCTTTAGGAGAGAAAAAAGGCACACACATGCTTTTTGTTTAGTCAATTGCCGAGACCGGTTAAACAGCTCAATTCTCTCAACATGTGTGGAGCTTTTCTGCATGTCTGTCAAACAGAAATGTGGTTAAAAAGATACACACGAGACGCCATTGTTGTCTCTTTATGTTTTTCCTGTAGCCTATATGTGTTTGGCTGCGTTTGTGACTGGCATTAGGCTGGGGTATATTCAGTCTAAAGTCATTTTCGAAAATAAAAAAATACATACCGTATATAGGCTATTGGTGGTCTTCCATAATCGTTTTAATAAATCGTTCCTTTTTCGTTACGTTTTCAAATCGCTTTGGAATTTATTTCTGTAAACGCACTATATTCTGAGAGTATTTTACCTACATCACGTCTCCCGAAATACAGAATATGAAGGATTTTAATGAGCTATTACCACCTGAGTTGGTGGCAGGCAGATCCCTTAACCCATGAAATTGATCTGATTACCTCGCCAATAGGTCATAAAAGAAAGGAGTTGGATTTTCTGAGGCTGCTTTCCCCCCTTTTTCCATCGCGTCTGTGGTCGATATGGCTTGATTTGGAGAGGAGCTGTTACATAGAATGAATAGGATACGATATTAAGGGCATCACAGTCGCGCTATCATGGGCAGAACTCGAGCGGTTATTTGCATGCAGAGAACAGAACGGGCTGGGAAATCGCGCGCTGTTCTATTGATTTATGCTGAATGCTTCCCCAACAGCTGTGTTTTGGAGATAGGGAGGCTGGCCACTCACATAATCACGAGGTGGGTTACCTTTTATATAAGGATACAATCTGCCTCCAATCTCCAAATCAGGCCACGACAGAGATGGGCAGCACATTGAGTGTGGCTTATGTCGAAGTTCTTTGTGTGTTTATGAAGTTGACAAATGATGTTAGCTACTTGGCGGACTATCAACGATTTATTTAGACTAGTTTGATCTGTATGCTAATTACCCCTAACACTGTGTTATGTGTTATGTAAAAAGGGGTGAATAAATGCAACAACTGTCAATGGAATTTTTTTGGTAAAATACGCCCCCAGAGCACTACATTTGAGAGATGGTGTCTTAAAGCAGAGGAACCGAAACAGTAGCATCCAAATGGAGGCGGTGTGGGCCTGGGGATGCGGCCGTTAAGAGAGAGGAGGTGAACAGCGATCACATGGATAAGCTCCCTCTCTGTTTTTCTTGTTATTCAGGTTAAAGCATTACCGAAAACATAATCTGTACTCGAGGTAAAATGTTCAAATTTGAATCATTCTAAGAAATACACCTCATTTTTCGAGTTTCATTCACACCGAGAAGAATTTCACGCCCTCGTTTTGGTTCTAAGAATCTGAGCTGGTTCACATAGTTAATTGAGTACAAGAAGAAATGTTGTTCTTGAAAAGATCAGAGAATATTGTGGCATTAGCCATCTTTACCTGTAGCCTATATTTCTAGGCTATATGCCACACGCCCCAACTCGAGGTTTCAAATCATGGCATGCATGATATCATTTTGAATGATTTGAAAATGCCTGTCTTCGGTGTAATTTGTTCTCTATTTAACCCTATATCAAAAGCATTGTTATTATTATTGTTATTATTATTAATAATAATAAATAGTTGTTCGTTTATTACATTTACATTATCCTGTAACACAGGCGTTTCTCTCTCCCTCGCTTTTTAAAAAAATTTCCTCAGTCTTCATCAAGATAAAAATAATGTATTCCTGACTGGAGTGAAGTAGCTCCAGCGCGTAGAGAGAGTGCCGCGCTCTGCCCGCTGCCCGATGCCATGTCCTCTGGTTCACCCTGGATCCGCGCCTCGCGGCTGTTTGGACAGCTTTACCTGCTACATTAGAATGAAACTGTAAAACCTAAACCCATCAAAAGTCTCCTAAACCAGATGCCGGCACTTTAATTAAATGGTATTTCTGGGCCTTCCCGGTTTTTCATCTGCCCCCAGAACTGGGTTACAGCGCATGAGCGTCAGGGAAGCTTGCTTTAGAATGTGGCTTATCTCCCTGTTTTAATGATGATGCTGCAATGGTTGGACACACATATGATCAACCAAAAATATAAAAAAATGTAATAGATACAATTGATAGTAATTATTTGAATAGCCTATATGGTATTATCAATATTAATATTATTATTATTATTATTATTATTATTATTAGTAGTAGTAGTAGTAGTAGTAGTGGTAGTAGTAGTAGTAGTAGTAGCAGTAGTAGTAGTAGTAGTAGTAGTAGTAGTAGTAGCAGTAGTAGTGTAGGCCTAGTAGTAGCCTATAGTAGTAGTGTTATTATGATTATTATAATTATTATTACTACTATTATTGTTGTTATTATAATAATAATAATAATTCTTAATATTATTAGACTATGACTACTACCTAATAATTACAACCCTGGGAAATACATTTGTCATAATTACAATTAGCCTATAGGAGGCAAAATGTGGACACTGTTAACAAAGCTATGCTATCTAAAAAGTTCATCTCACTCTGAAAATGAAATAATCCGGCGGTGTCTTAAATTCTCACCCTCGGTTAAATGTGTGATGTCTCCTGATTTTAATCAGCGTTCCCTGACATGATCACTCACAAATTATCTCCCCAATCTTCTGCTGTGCCTGCCACCAGGCAAAACTACCAGCCACCATACTACCACCAACATTTATGAATCAGATGCAGTGTAGTAGACTAGACATCTGCTTTTTATTTGGTTTGTTTTGGTTATTTTATCACGCACGCACGCACAGACACGCACACACACACACACACACAAACACACACATGGCCCCCCTTCTGTTGTGACAGTGGTGGGGATTACAAATGACAACTTTTAAAGGGGACCAGTTTTGTATTCCACGCTAAAAGAATAAGCTCTCACGTTTCGTTCTCTTTTGACACTGAAGCTTGGGGAATTCACGTCTTGAGAGAGGTTCCGTGTCCCACTCTGTAAGCATTACTTTTACTGTAATGTGTTGCCTCGGAGCACCTATAACGCATAGCCTACTTGGTGGATAATGGAGCGCGATACTTTTCAAGAGGATAATTACACGAGTCCGTTGACAGCTCGACAATGCCGGTGAGATTGTTCGATGTGAGGCCGGTACAGCAGTTTCCATCCAGGTTCAGTCTCAGGTTCGCTTGAGTGAGACATGCTCTCTGAGAGGGAAAAAAAGCGTGCTTCGCCAAATCAGCAATATTTCTGTTTTTCACACATTAACCCCGGTGCACCCGACTGAGAACGGCCTTGGTAAAATGCACAACCTACAAAAGACTAAAAGGCCATCTACGAATATCACATATGTAGCTACCCTATTCTGTAAAATAGGCCTACCTCATTGCATAAGATGGATGTGGCAGTTATTGTTGTGGCCATGCTCTGAATATCAAGTGCTCCCATGGAGACCCTGAAAAAAAAGCATTTCATATATCATTTTCGTTCGTGCCAGTTTGCATTGGTGATAGTGCCATTTGGAAAATGATATTATATCGATTTATATGCGAATGCAAGGCTATTAATAAAATCTGCATTTTCTCCCGTTGTAATGTCTGTTTGCATACAACTCACCATACAATTTCTTAATAATTTTAATGCGTAATGAACGCCCAGCATACCTGGTTATAGAATTGTGCTATTAAATAATGATACTTTTACTCACTGGAAAAGGAGGCGCGCATTTCCTCTCCAGAACAGCCTGCGCGCTCTGCTCTGCTCGCTGAGAGGGTTCATTTCCTGGCTGTTTACTCTGGAGGTGACGTCACGTCCAGTGGTGTCGCGGAGGCTGCCGGTGTCAGTGCATTGCGCAGCACCAAAAAGAACAGCCCCCTATTCTACAATGACATACTGCCAATCGGAGAGTATGGGGTAGCCAAACTGGGAATTAGATACAAAATACCTCCCCACGGGGCAGCCCCCCCTCCCACCTATTACTGTGCAATCAAGTGGAACAATGCAAGAGTACAATGCAGCATGCATACCTGACATTGGCATATGGAATTATTAGATGATCTGGGCCTATGGTGTCAAGATGAATATATTTAATTAGTCAATTCAAGATCATACACTATAGAACGCATATATGACTTGGTAATGTAAAAAAAAAAAATGAGCTGCATCAAGTTACATTTAATGCAGTCTTTTTGAATTAATAATGACATGTCAGGGCATTTGCTACTTGTCTATCTCTGTGTTGGGGGAGAGACAAGCAGTCTAATACTCTGGGAGAATACTCTCTCTCTCTCTTAGTCTGTTAAAGTCAGCTGAGGAGCCAGGCAGTAATGCAGTGGAGTGTTTTCCAGACTGCAGTTCAGCAACTCTGGCGTCCTCGCCCGCCCCTGCTCTGTGAAGCGAGGAAATCAGCCCAATTTGGGGAGTTAAAGTCATAGCCTGCCATTATAATAACGCGTCTGTCACCGCGAGAGGACGCACTGTCACAATTTTAAGAAAATGGGCGTCCCACAACCTGCCAGACTGCCACTGGTCCCTCGTTATTGAGCAATAGGCTTCACGTGCTGTCTCTTTCTATTTATATATATTTTTCATGACAAGCCCGGAAATATTATTGTGGCCAGCAGGATTCATTGATACAGATACTGCATTAAAAAGCAGCCTACTTTAGAATAGAAAATAATATAATATAATTAAATGGATGTGTTGTTTTTCATGAAGTCTAATTGAGATGTGCATATAAGATGTCCATATTTTGTTATGGAAAAAAGACCCACTTCATTATGGGTTGTAATTGAGTTATAATGCACAATACATTGTGTATGATGGGCATGAAGGCGTTTGTGTACCGGTATTTGCTTTCAAGAAAAATTATCTGAATATGAAATTACATGTATTTACTGTTGTTGAGACACTTGCAGGGTCTGTGAAAGAAAAATCCTTGCAGCAGTTCTTGGTCATCTCTCCTGGCCCACTATATTCAATTAGGGCGAGCAGGGCAGGCCCCTCCCCCACTGATGACACTGACAGACCCTCCTTAAGTTGCGTCGCGCCACAGCTGTCTGCAAGCATTGAGCTGCCTGGCGCCATCCTGAAAGAATGCCTTCACTGTAAAAAAAAAAAAAAAGAGAGAGAGAGAGAGCGAGAGAGAGAGAGACATACACACACTGGGACCGAGAGAGTTCAGAGAGAGCTAGAGAGAGTGGGTGAGAGAGCAAGAGGGAGAGCGAGAGAGAGAGAGAGAGAGAGAAGCGAAGTAAGTGGAGAGGGTTGCCGCTGCGCACAAACAGAGATTTGATCTGCGAGTTCGGTGCTAGTCAGTTTGCACTAAGCCACCTACTGCAAACAAGGCTGCGTCTAAACATATACCTCTACAACTTGTTGAATCGGCTTAATAATATAGAAACTTTGTCAGGGAAAAGTTGAGGAACTTTTGAGTGGGACTGGATACGACCTTGGATCTATTTATGACAACATTCAAGTGAAACATTATTTTTTGAATGTATGTTTTGAAGAAGTTTATTATATTTATTACCCGGGCAAATTCACATTAATGTGAATCCCTGCCAAATAATCGCATTTGAATAGACTGAAAATAACATCAACATAGGGGGAACAATATATTTTTTAAAGACATTTTTATTTTTCATCTCCAGGTGAACGAAGGTAACGAAGAAAACTGTGGATTAAACAAAGCAGGAATTCGGACAGATTTTTTTTCTTACTTGACTTATCGGTTCACTCCGGTGTGTATGAACGTTTGCTAAAAAGCTATGGAAGTATCCGCGGACCAACCCCGATGGATGAGCCATCACCACCCATCGGTGCTAAACGAACAGCATCCCGGTTCCCACCACCCGGGCCTCGGTCCACTCGTACATGGACCCCTCGCAGTATCCCCTCGCCGACGATGTGGATGTACTGTTTAATATCGACTCACAGGGCAACCACGTATCTCCATACTATGGGAACTCAGTCCGAGCCGTCCAGAGGTACCCACCTCCTCCACATAGTAAGTACTGCTTCATTACGCATCGTTTTAGGCTACTATTGAATTAGAGACATCGATCTCTTATTTCTATGTGGCATGGTCATATTTAACTCGGATAGAGCTAACATAAGAATAATTCGTCTTCAGATGGTTGTCCATTTTTAAAATGTCTTAACCGAAGTATTTGTCTAATAGGTTTTAGACTCAGCTGATCCGGCTAATTTAAAAATGCGAGCGCCATATGAAACCATGCAGTCCTCTGTTATGTGTGGCTTACCTCTCTGGTGGTGTAGCTTTGGTTTCATATCTTTGCAGTTGTGAGTATAGGTATTTGTTATAACAGTGAGTAAGACCACTCTGTTTCATGTTCAGTGCGATTTTAGCACAGTAAAATCAGATGTAAGAAGGGAAGGTGGTCACTATCAGTCAAGCAATTTGAAATCAATGACATATGTTTAAATCAAATACATTAACATGTATGACAGATTAACAGCATGTTACTATTGTCAAATATGACATGTATGTTTATATCATGCATAAATTCAAATATGTTACCAAACGAATGAATGTGTAGACCTACGTGCAGAGAGAATTTGCAAAGGCCCCATGATATATATTTTGTCATTTCAGACTATCATACTTCACCACACAACCGTGTACATTTTATGGCAGGTAAACTATGAGTTATAATTTAATTATAGATATTCTTGGAGAGAAAATAACTGCGGAAGTGCAATTGGTTTAATTTATTGACATGACTTCCTGAACGGAATAGTGAATCATGACCCGGTTTCTGTAACGAGGCTTCCTATGCTAAAACACCCTCTGCACTGAGACAGGCGTGCTACTCACACTGCTGCTCTGACACTGTCATTCAGGCCATGGGTTTCGGCAAGACAAAGAAAATAAAGTAGGCTGGAGTCAAGAGGGACAATTTGGGTCAGAGCATGTGTTGTCAGTTGTGTAGGCCTGGTGTGCAGTTTTATCTTATGTCCCCGAAGAGAAATCATGGGTGGTGTTTTACTAAAATTGCATATGTTTTTTATTTTTACCATGATGGAATTATAGGCTGAAAATAATCGAAAGTCTAAGTCATTGTAGTTTCAGTTTCTCCACTAGTAAAGCACATCTGAATACACACATATAAATATCAAACGAACAAGACCTTGTCATATTTATAATGTTTTGTTTCAAAAGGAAGAGTGACCAAACGTTTTTAATTGACAGTGACTGAGGTGCACCTTTAATTTAAATTTAAATTGATATTAATTGTGTCATTGTCATAGCAGGCCTAGGCCTACATTGTGTCAAAAGTCAAGACTTAAACCAGCATACATGTGAGATATTGTTGTTTAAAGTCAACAAAATGATCATAAGGGAAAGTGATCAAATCGTGAGAGTAGTCTAATTGAATGTAGGCCTATTGTAATTTTCTTCACCGAGAAAAATACTGACACCGTTCTATCATCCTATTTTCTATTACAGGTAGTCAGGTGTGTCGCCCCTCTCTACTGCACGGTTCTCTGCCATGGCTGGACGGAAGCAAAGCAATGCAGCACCACAGTACTTCCCCGTGGAACCTGAGTCCTTTCCAAAAGAGCTCACTGCACCACGGTTCCCCGGCAGGTCTCTCCGTCTACCCCCCGGCGTCCTCCTCCTCCCTGTCCGGGGGACCACTCCAGCCCGCACCTCTTCACCTTTCCCCCCACTCCTCCGAAAGACGTGTCCCCGGACCCAGGCATCTCCACTCCGGGCTCAAGCAGCAACAGTCGCCAACAGGAGGAAAAAGAGTGCATAAAGTACCAGGTGTCCCTGGCCGAGAGCATGAAACTGGAGTCTCACAGCCGGAGCATGGCATCAATCGGAGCGCAATCCTCCGCCCACCATCATCACCCCATCGCCACATACCCATCCTATGTCCCCGAATACGGCCCAGGCCTCTTCCCACCAAGTAGCCTGATAGGTGGGTCATCTTCTAGTTATGGTTCCAAAACAAGACCAAAAACAAGGTCATGTTCAGGTAGGCGTGCATTTTATTATATTACCATTTGATTTCACCTTAGAATATATGGTATTGATGATATCCAGGTGTAATCCCAATGTACCCGTTTCAGAATAAGGACCTTTTTTCGATCTCCACACAAAAAAACTCTTATTTTGGGTTATTGGCATGCCATGTAGCTTTGAGTGACAGCCAAGGCATTTCTCCAGTCCTTGCAGGCCCATAGAAAGTCAAATGTGTCTCAAAGGGACTCATGCACAAGATTCGTTTGAGGGAAAAATACAATAGCAGTGCCAAGGAAAGCACGTGGTGGTAATAATAATACAAATGAATAATAATAGCAATAATAATAATAATAATAATAATAATAATAATAATAATAACAATAATAATACATTCTAAATAATAATAAATGAATCTTGTAGGAAAAATCTTGCATGGATAATCCAATTTGACTGAGTAACAATTTTAATTGGGGACGTTATAACGTTTCTATATGTTATTAGGCTGTACAAACATGTTTAATCGCATTCAATCAGCACCCTGATTTGTCAGAACACATTGCTTAGAATAGAAAGCGAATTAAATCATTCAAAGCGCATTTGCCCACATGAGATTGAACGGTTTTCCACTTTCCAAAGCAAAGGAATTAAGTCCAGTGAATGATTAAACAGCCTTAGTTGACTTCCGAATATTTTAAAGCTCTGTGTATAGGCCTAAACCAGATCCGTTTTCAGTTGTTCTATTTTTCACAGAGGGAGAGAGCGAGAGAGGAACAAGGCTAGCTCTGTGACGGCGGCCTGCATGGCTGTCTCGCGCAAGTTTATATGTTTAAGATAATCCCATTACTGTCAGACTGGTGCACGCGACAGTTGCATTGTTTACGCAGAGCCAGTAATAACTTTGATAGAGTCCGGATGCGGGGCTGCATTGAGAGGGGGTAATCACGAATGAGCACTCTCCGTGGCAGAGGGGCACGACTGGCGAGGCGGAATATTATCCAAACAAGTGGGGGTAATACAAGTACAAAAATTATTCAGGCGCCGCTCGAAACCAGTTAACTGTAATGAGATTAATATCAGTGCCATGTAGCATTAGGAGAAATATAGAAAACAGTGGATTAGTCGATGCATATCATCAGGCTTATTCAATGCTGAATAATATTCGCTTATTACTACTACAAAAACAATCATTTTAATTTGAGGATAAATGTGTGTGCTGTAATGTGCTTAAAGATACATCCTCTAAAATGAATCTTAAAGAGGTTATCTATTAATGAGGTCATATAATGGAACGTGTCTACATTGCAAACCTGAAGTTGAGAAGAAGTCATGCAGAAAGGTCGACTCTGTGGTCTTCTAACCATCAAACCTGGAACACGCCTTGCGCAATACAAAAACCTGTAGTAGCCTATTTCTCAGAGGTCCTATTGTGGAGTGGATACATTTGTTTCGCTGCGTTAGCCAGTGTCCTGTCTCTAAAAACACTATTGATTTTACAACGTCCTCGGTGTCTGCTGAGGTCTCTGCAATGTCTATCACATCTAACAAGGCAGAACCAGAAGTGACGCATATCAGTCTCTGAAGAAGTGGAGCGGTTTTTGCAGTCAAAAGGGGATGTGCGGGTGAGTAGAGGCGTAAAGGCACGGCGCGGAACAAAGGCCTCCTCTCTAAACGGGTCTATGCTTTCAAATAATCCTGCCGCGCTGCTCGGTTGTTTCAGTTTCAGTGGTGAGGCCACATAGGTCTATGGATCAGTAGACCCCCTTAATGAAACTGTCGGTGTCACTAGAGAAGTGCCAATCAAACCCAAATGTTGGTTTGGAAAGACAGGCTTAAATATTTATGAATTAGCCTATTTTACAAGAACATATTATTATTATTACTATACACCACTGTGAAATGAGAGTTTGTGTGTGTGGGAGAAAGAAGAGGGCACATTTTAATCACAAAAATATATGATTGACCCCATAGATTATGCACGCCCTTTTCTAAAAATAGGCTATCAGTTTGAATTCATAGATGATGTATTTGATTAAATGATGTGTGACCACATTGTGACAGTATTCGACCATAATAGACCTGCTTTATTCAATTGATAGTCAGATGTTTGTATGATGTCAGACAGATTGTATGAGGTAATTTTCGAAACACTATGAATTGGAATAGGCCTACTAACTCCAGGGTCAAATGTTGATGTCAGTTGTAGCCTAATAGAGGCGGGGCTTTTTTGCACTTTGAATATTCAATGCATTGTTATAGGCCCACTGTATTATTATTATTATTATTATTAGTAGTAGTAGTAGTATGCCTTGTAGTAGTAGTAGTAGTATGCCTAGCAGTAGTATTTGTATTATTTGTTTTATTATTACAGTGTGATATGAATGTTATGCTACTATTAGAATTAATTATTTTGTGTGATGACATTTTCTATGATGTTTATAACAACCTTTCTCCCTCTTGACCTGAGGGATCAAGTGTTTCAGATGTGAGATGCTATGTTTAGTTTATAAGGGGCGAACTGATCTCGGCGCTCTCTCCATGTTGTGTATCGTTTCTGCTTTCAGAAGGTAGAGAGTGCGTTAACTGTGGAGCTACGTCGACCCCGCTCTGGAGGCGGGATGGCACTGGTCACTATTTGTGTAACGCCTGCGGACTCTATCACAAGATGAACGGGCAGAATCGGCCCCTCATCAAACCCAAGCGACGACTGGTATGTCCCTGCCACTTTGTATTGATGACACTTCCGTCTTTCTCTCTTTCTCTACCCAGGAAGAAGTGTTAGCTGCAGGAAATTGACTCGCCAAGTGCAGGTCTCGAATTCTTTTAGATATACAGTAATAGCAAACTGCAGATTTATTATTACTATTGTTATGATTTTTTTTTTTAATGATTTGCTTCATCAATTATTTTTTTTATCCCGCTTCAATTGCCCTACTGTTTGATATTTCTCAGAGGAAAAAAATATATGAGAAAATATCTTCCTCTTATTCTGCATTGAGGCAAATCGAAAAATATTCCATCCAAGTCCTCACTGCCCACATAGGAATAATATCTGCAGTTGACATACTGTAAATGGCATACTTAGAATTGGACGTTTATATGGTTTAGATGAGAGATGTCGGCTACCATGCACCCTGCAGTATTTGGAAAGGAACCCCCTAAACCTTTTTAACACCAGAAAGCTGAGTTCTATAGAGCAGTTCCCCTATCTCCCTGCATGGTTAGATAAAGGGGAAAACTTTCTAGGCAGGGGACGCCTCGCGTGGACTGCTCTTTTAGCAGCCAGACCAGATTCTGCTCTGGCCTACATCCCCCCTTCTCTCTCTAATGTGAAAAACCCGACTTCCCAGGAAAAAGCTGCCGGATATCTGAGCAGCGCAGATAAGTCGCTTTTAACAACATAGCCCGCTTCCCCAGTCTAAACATGAAGGGGACCGGGGGACCAAATCAGCGCAAGGAGCGGCCCAGGGCACGCAGGAGTCACGACTCGAGATTGTTCTTCTTAGAACTCAGGGAATCGCTGCAGAATGTTCAAATACTGAGGGAGGGAAAAGAGGGAGAAAAGGAAAAGAGAAAAGAGAGATGGAAGTCTGAAGAAGAAGTCTGGCAGAAGATGGATACAGTGAGCTCCATTTTCCAGTACACAAGCACTTTATTTTCGCGTTAATGGAACTCAAGATTGGTGTGCAAAGCAATTACATTATTTAAGTCACGAATGAACATGGGTTATTAGGCCACCAGATGTAGATAATTGGAAATCCCTCCGAAAGATAGTGTAGTGCGTTTTGTTTAGCCCATTCGGTGTTAACGGGTACTGTGTCCTATTCGGTCATCTCGTCTATCGATTGGTTTTATAGATTATAACATCAATGTCAGGCAGGCCAGCTACCTGGCGTCTGAGGCAGGCGTTTCAATCCATGGGAATGCAGAGTCCTCTCCCCATGCAAATCGAAACGTATCTTGAATGTAAATCAGGGCATTAGCTCCTCCTAATTTTTAAAAATTATTTTTCTATAATTGGCTAATAGCCTATATGGTATGTCAATGTGGACGATATGGCGATATTCAAGCTTACCATCTTCATCCTCAAGCAAATCACTTTGTCCATTTTATCCATTAGCCATTTTATATTGTGAAAACCCCCTTGACTGCTCAACAAGATTAGCTATGTAAAAACAGCAGAATAATGATTGTTTTGGTCTTGCTATGCACATATTGATGATTCAACATATATTAGTCTTCCCATGGGAGGATGGCGATTTGTTTAAAAAATACATGATTCTGTCCGCCATCATGCTCTCACCCTAAAACTAATTGTAGTTTATTTGTATAAACTGTTGAGTTCCATATTTAAACATAAGGAGCAGACACTGTCTTACTGTTACTTAAGCACTTAGTCGCTTTAACGGGGAAATTTAATCAGATTTAATAGGTCCCATTTCATGCCACTGCTTTTATGTCGTCTGTAAATATTTACTCTTGAGAGGGCATGTGCGCATGATGCTATTTTTAGTCTCGAGTCAAAGCAGCGCTGTTTTGGAATTTTGAAAGTTGGATAGACAGAGCTTTGCAGAAAGCTATATGATAGTAATGTATTATACTAGTATTATAAATGCAACATTTGGTTTGATAGCCTAGGAAATGGCCTTATGACTGATATGCATGTTTTTTTATCTCATTTTTCTCCAGTCTGCAGCAAGACGGGCAGGAACATCATGTGCAAACTGTCAAACGAGCACGACAACACTGTGGCGAAGAAACGCTAACGGGGACCCGGTGTGTAACGCTTGCGGTCTATACTACAAACTGCACAATGTAAGCAAAACAACAGCCTTTACATTATAGTAAGATATCTACTAACTTATCTAAGCATGTGTTGTCTTTCATATCCTTTCTTTTCTTCCTCACTTTTATTTCTTTCTTTTCATTTATTCTATCCTCCCATCTTTTTTTCTCTGTACATTCAAAGCTCATTTTAGATATTTTTTCTATAGTTCTTGAAATATTTATCGCAATCGTCCCCAATGTGAATTGTGGGGACACAAGCGATAAGAAATATAATTCATGTGATTTATTCGCAGTCACATGTACGAATCAAAATATATGAGAGAGCCGAATTAAGCCCCGTGCGTGCAGCTTGGCTTTTGAATATTAAAGAAGAGCTTAATTAAAATTCGATTAATTTTCAGACCGATCTTATTTCAGGCCTTTTGGTTACATCAGCGCCAGGGACTTGGAGTCCCCCTCTGACCACCAATCCGCCTGATTCGTTTTGGGGCGTGCTAGTTACTGCCTCACCACATCATTTCCCTTCCTCAATTTGAGGACCCCCAGGACCAGTTCTCTCTCTCTCTCTCTCTCTCTCTCTCTCTCTCTCTCTCTCTCTCTCTCTCTCTCTCTCTCTCTCTCTCTCTCTCTCTCTCTCTCTCTCTCTCTCTCTCTCTCTCTCTCCCTTTCTCGCTTTCTCTCTCTCCCATGCACACACTCTGCGCCAAGATGGAGAGCTGCTGCATAATTTAACTAGCAAAACCAATTATTATTATTATTATTATTATTATTATTATTATTATTATTATTATATTTTACTTATAGCCTATTCAACCTTGACATGAGAGAGCTCGCCATTCTTTTCCCCTCCAGAGTTGATCTGATAGGGTATCCCTTATCCTGGCGCAGGGGAAATCTATAGCCTATCCTGCTACACTCCAAGTGCTCCTGTTAAATCATTTCCCTATGTTGGTTTTGGAAGATTCTTTAAGACTGAAGAAAGCGATTTTTACTCAGGTTATCAGGGAGAATAATAATATTTCCCAGTTACATATTATCTTTTGAACTGACCCGATCTCGGCTTAATAGCAAAATGTGTTTGTTTTGGTAAATTCAGATTTCTGTTGGGGCCTGCTCACATTTTACATGGTACATTATATGAAGCCTCTCTTCCCTCGTGCACAATGACTCCTAACCTGCACAGTGGCCACAGTGGCTGCACGTGACAGCAACCTAATGCTAACCTCAGAGACCTTGATAGCCTTTCCATTTTGAGACTGGCTGTAGGCTATAGTAAACGTGTATGGACATATTTATTGGATGCTTGTGAAAATAAAGTTGCCACAAAGATGTGACAGGCAGTGTTGACACCCAAATCAGTTTTTTGCTCCTTGACAATCTGAAATAATGTTCCTCAAAGTTCACTGATGTGTGAGTCAGGGTGTTTGCAGTGTGGTCAACCTGAGACCATTGCATATGGGTTGTGGTTGTTTTCAGGTTACTATAGGTGTGGGTATGAGGTTATGTACTGAATGCTCTGTGGTGGTCACTGAGTAAAGCTCTGAGTGTGTTGTGTTTTGTTTGATGCAATGGGCAGAGGCCTAGGGCTTCGTACGTGAGATGCATGGCATATATTTGAGCATCAAAGAGCACTAAAGCCTGGCCAGCTTTAGTTGGGCGCGCTGCATTTCAACGCCTAGCTAGCAGCTAGAAACAGAGAAGCCCTTCGCTTTTACCCTACGTCATATAGAGACAGTGAAACCACATCACTCAGGGGCCATAGCTCTTTGCCCTTTGTTAATCATCTGGGCCACTCTGTGCTAAAATATAGTCAGCGAAAAAGGCCAATCATTTCTCAAAGGAAGTGGTAGAAGTGAGGCGGTGAAATCCCATTTCCCATTTCCCAGGGAAGCGGTCCTAAAGATCAGGGAAGCAGCCGGCCTCATCCACCTCTCCTTGATAATCCTGCCCTGAGCTGGAATTCCATCATCCGGCTCTCATTCCCAGCTAAAACCTGTGCAGGAATATGGCAGCTCGGGCCATTTTGGCCGGCAGATGCCTATGCAGAAGGCTGCGATGGAGGGTGGAGGGTAGAGAGGCGAACTTGGCCGGCGACGGCAGTCGTCATGGCCATGTGTCTCATTGGTCGGCTGGTTAGGACGGTGGCTGCCAGGCTCTCTTTCTCTCTTTCTCTCACTTTCCCACTCTCTCTCATTCCATCTTTCCAAATCTCTCTATGTCTTTCCCTCTGTCTCCCTCTCCCTGGCATGGCAGTAGCCTAAGATCCAGCCCAGCTTAAGGGAATCAGCGTTTAAATCCAGCCAAACGCGGACTCGCCCTGACACTCACACACACACACACCCTACTCTCCCCCTACCCCCTACCACTAACAATGGGACAGACAGATTTATTCTATAATGGGACTCCATTACATATCACAGTGTCCCCCAAACCCTGAGCTCGACCTCTTTTGAAATTAGATACGTATTTGTGTCGCCCCTCTCCAATTTTGTTTGTTTTGGTTTGTTTTTTGTTTGTTGGTGCAAATGCATTGACACAATTCAAATGCGCTTTACAAGATACGAGTGATAAAGAGAGCTCAATGCTTGGATTTTAATTTCATTGTTTGTCAGCGTTTTTTCGCTTCATCAAAGTACATCAAAAAGCATGAACGCTGCGCTTTGATATTTTGGCTCAGTTTCAACTCTGACTCATATTACTATTTCTGCTCCTTCAACTTAAGTAACTCCTTGACGTCACTAACCTATGAAATAATAGTATTGAATAACTTGCTTGTTTTAACCCTGGTGCATTAACCCCATGTGTCTGTCTGTCCCCCAGATCAACCGACCTCTCACCATGAAGAAGGAGGGCATCCAGACCAGGAACAGGAAGATGTCCAGCAAGTCGAAGAAGAGCAAAAAGTCCCACGACAGCATGGACGACTTCTCCAAGAGCCTGATGGAGAAGAGCAGCTCGTTCAGCCCCGCCGCTCTGTCCCGCCACATGTCCTCCTTCCCCCCCTTCTCACACTCCGGTCACATGCTGTCCACCCCCACGCCCATGCACCCCTCCTCCTTCGCCCCCCACCCCCACTCCAGTATGGTCTCTGCCATGGGCTAGAAGACCCCAATGGTACCACCCACCTCCAAAAATGCCTCAATCAACAACTAACCCCCCCATCCTCTTACCCTCAGTTCTCTTAGCTTACCTGAATTCCAAGCTGAAAGACAACCAAACTGATCTCTGCTACCCATAACCAACCGCTCTGCTCCATCACCAAGCCGCCTATGATCTGACCTCGTGTGAGGGAGACAGGCTCTATGGGTCCTTGCTTTTGTTCAGTTGTATCTTTTTTCATCTTTATCAAGTGTATCTACTGCGATACTCAAAGCCTGGCAGACTGACTCAATGACTGTGGTTTTCTGACTCCTGGGGAGACCATTGTTGTTCTCCGACCTGGGAGAAAAGATCCTGAAGCTTCACCCACTCACTGACTGTGTCATCCCAGCTGATAACCCCCAATCCGGAATCCCATTTGTGTGCAAAATGCCATTATTCATGGGAAAAGCAAAGATTATAAACAATCATTACAAAAGCTATAACTTTTATGATGCCCCAGATTATAAACAATCATTACAAAAGCTATAACTTTTATGATGCCCCAGATTATAAACAATCATTACAAAAGCTACAACTTTTATGATGCCCCCCCCACTCCCCTTCTCACCCTGCTTCACACACCTGTATGACAGGTGCCCCCCCCCCCCCCCCCCCCCCCCCCCCCCCCCCCCCAGCTGTGAGAAGACGAGAGGAGATGAACTTTGAATATATTTGTACAAATTGTATGAAATACAGTACATTTAATGAAGACTTTTTAATTAAGTAAAATGCCCCTGGGCAGCTAACGACAGAAGGGTACGAAGGATGCCTCTACTTCCTGGATAGAGGGATAAGAGGGAGGAAAGGAAAGGACAGATAAAAGGACAGGCCTTCACTTTCGCCTGCTGGAAAACATGTTTGATGCATTAAGCTTGTAGAGAGTCTATTGTTCTGACTGCAGGCGTCTCTTTTTTGGATGTGCTATAGGTCTCGGGCTGTTGGTTTGTGTTCACATGCTAGCACATACACACACATATACACACATCATACTTTCACATACACAAACACACACACACTGCCACATTGGATCACCTGAAAGACTTTCTTCCGGCCCACAGATTATATGCATTGTGAAAAAAGTTCCTGTATTTGTTATTTGTATGTATAATTCAGAGTACCAAAAATACGAAAGAAACAAAGATGTAGAATTATTTCTTTATGTTATGCAGACTGAATGGTTGTAAAAATTTAATAATAATCACTAGTGTAAAAAATGACTGCTTTTTTGTTTCGTAATTATTATTATTTTTCTTTGAAAATAATAAACTAGATTAATCTCTGTTGACATGTTAGCCTGTTGTTGCGATACTTATTTTGTTCTCTGGTGTGTTGTCATCGTGTGATGTTTGACACATCGTCACCCCACGCCTCTCCAGATCTGTCTGCAACACCCCAGGCCATTTTTACCCAGCATTCACAGCAGCAACTGACAGCTCTTGTGGTGAAGGACAAACAGGAAGTGCAGAAATAAACAGTGGTACTGTGAATGTAGGAGGACTCACGTAATTTCATGGCTAGACAGGCAGGCTAACTCTCACAATCACAACTGAGCTGCACTTTAAATGTGTTCATAATGAAACAGAAAGCTTGGCAGAAATACTCCTTTACAGTTGAATTCGGAAGTTTACATACACTTAGGTTGGAGTCATTAAAACTCGTTTTTCAACCACTTGTTTTTCAACCAATTTCTTGTTAACAAACTATAGTTTTGTCAAGTCGGTTAGGACATCTACTTTGTGCGTGAAACAAGTAATTTTTCCAACAATTGTTTACAGACAGATTATTTCACTTATAATTCACTGGATCACAATTCTAGTGGGTCAGAAGTTTACATACACTAAGTTGACTGTGCCTTTAAACAGCTTGGAAAATTCCAGAAAATTATGTCATGGCTTTAGAAGCTTCTGATAGGCTAACTGACATCATTTGAGTCAATTGGAGGTGTACCTGTGGATCTATTTCAAGGCCTACCTTCAAACTCAGTGCCTCTTTGCTTGACATCATTGGAAAATCAGCCAAGACCTCAGAAAAAAAGTTGGTTCATCCTTGGGAGCAATTTCCAAACGCCTGAAGGTACCAAGTATAAACACCATGGGACCACGCAGCTGTCATACCGCTCAGGAAGGAGACGCGTTCTGTCTCCTAGAGATGAACGTACTTGGGTGCGAAAAATGCAAATAAATCCAAGAACAACAGCAAAGGACCTTGAGAAGATGCTGGAGGAAACAGGTACAAAAGTATCTATATCCACAGTAAAACGAGTCCTATATCGACATAACCGGAAAGGCCGCTCAGCAAGGAAGAAGCCACTGCTCCAAAACTGCCATAAAAAAGCCAGACTACGGTTTGCAACTGCACACGGGGACAAAGATCGTATTCTTTGGAGAAATGTCCTCTGGTCTGATGAAACAAAAATAGAACTGTTTGGCCATAATGACCATTGTTATGTTTGGAGGAAAAAGGGGGAACGCTTGCAAGCCGAAGAACACCATCGCAACTGTGAAGCACGGGGGTGGCAGCATCATACTGTGGGGGTGCTTTTCTGCAGCAGGGACTGGTGCACTTCACAAAATAGATGGCATCATGAGGAAGGAAAATTATGTGGATATATTGAAGCAACATCTCAAGACATCAGTCAGGAAGTTAAAGATTGGTCGCAAATGGGTCTTCCAAATGGACAATGACCCAAAGCATACTTCCAAAGTTGTGGCAAAATGGCTTAAGGACAACAAAGTCAAGGTATTGGAGTGGCCATCACAAAGCCCTGACCTCAACCCTATAGAACATTTCTGGGCAGAACTGAAAAAGTGTGTGCGAGCAAGGAGGCCTACAAACCTGACTCAGTTACACCAGCTCTGTCAGGAGGAATGGGCCAAAATTCACCCAACTTATTGTGGGAAGCTTGTGGAAGGCTACCCGAAACGTTTTACCCAAGTTAAACAATTTAAAGGCATTGCTACCAAATACTTATTGAGTGTATGTAAACTTCTGACCCACTGGGATTGTGATGAAATAAATAAAAGCTGAAATAAATAATTCTCTCTACTATTATTCTGACATTTCACATTCTTAAAATAAAGTGGTGATCCTAACTGACCTAAAACAGGGAATTTCTATTAGGATTAAATGTCAGGAATTGTGAAAAACTGAGTTTAAATGTATTTGGCTAAGGTGTATGTAAACCTCTGACTTCAACTGTAGGTATCAGCTTGTTATTAGGAATCAGTCATGTTTCTGGAGAGAGCATGTGAAGTTAGAATGTGTCTTTGGTTTTCAGAATTCCATAGTTCTACAGTATGGAGTTGATTGGTGCGGTTATTAGTTGTCTCAGACAATTTAGTGAATTCACTTAAATCAATCTGATGAATTCAGATCCTCATGTAAAATAATAATTCTCAAATTCTTACATGCCACATTTCAAGTTTCTTAGCATCCATGTGCTTTTTGACTACATAATGTAAATATTGTACCAATCTTAAAAAGCTGGCGAAAAACCAGACACAGCCATGATACAGCAATAGAAAATACATCAATCACAGAGAGTAAAACAATATATTTGGTTGGAACAACTATTTCAATACATTTTATCATCAACACACCAAACCCATGTGTTGCCTACACAGCAACAGCAGTAAGATTTTATTTTGTCACAAGCAATTCAGCTAGTCCACCACATACTAGAAGGTGCTGAAGAGCAATTAATCATTTTCTCCCTTTCTTTTGAAAACCATGACTGTTTGAGTTTTGAATTGGAATATTGAAGAGGAACTCAGCATCAGTTTCGAACGCATTGTGGCTGAAGTTCCTCAACATCGCTCTCCTTCCCCATCAAGTGTAAAGCATATTCATATACGCATATTGATATACATATAAGTATACATACAGTGCCTTTGGGGTGGGGGGGTATGGGGGAGAAGACTAAATTGATTGAGAAACAAGGAATTGAGAGTGCATGAACGATGGTAAGAAGTAGCCATCATCTCAATAGTGTTATTATTTTCTGCTACTGTCACTGTATTGACTTCAATCACACTGTACTCTGCCAGAGGGAATGAGAGCTACAGTGGGGGAAAAAAGTATTTAGTCAGCCACCAATTGTGCAAGTTCTCCCACTTAAAAAGATGAGAGAGGCCTGTAATTTTCATCATAGGTACACGTCAACTATGACAGACAAATTGAGATTTTTTTTCTCCAGAATATCACATTGTAGGATTTGTTATGAATTTATTTGCAAATTATGGTGGAAAATAAGTATTTGGTCACCTACAAACAAGCAAGATTTCTGGCTCTCACAGACCTGTAACTTCTTCTTTAAGAGGCTCCTCTGTCCTCCACTCGTTACCTGTATTAATGGCACCTGTTTGAACTTGTTATCAGTATAAAAGACACCTGTCCACAACCTCAAACAGTCACACTCCAAACTCCACTATGGCCAAGACCAAAGAGCTGTCAAAGGACACCAGAAACAAAATTGTAGACCTGCACCAGGCTGGGAAGACTGAATCTGCAATAGGTAAGCAGCTTGGTTTGAAGAAATCAACTGTGGGAGCAATTATTAGGAAATGGAAGACATACAAGATCACTGATAATCTCCCTCGATCTGGGGCTCCACGCAAGATCTCACCCCGTGGGGTCAAAATGATCACAAGAACGGTGAGCAAAAATCCCAGAACCACACGGGGGGACCTAGTGAATGACCTGCAGAGAGCTGGGACCAAAGTAACAAAGCCTACCATCAGTAACACACTACGCCGCCAGGGACTCAAATCCTGCAGTGCCAGACGTGTCCCCCTGCTTAAGCCAGTACATGTCCAGGCCCGTCTGAAGTTTGCTAGAGTGCATTTGGATGATCCAGAAGAGGATTGGGAGAATGTCATATGGTCAGATGAAACCAAAATAGAACTTTTTGGTAAAAACTCAACTCGTCGTGTTTGGAGGACAAAGAATGCTGAGTTGCATCCAAAGAACACCATACCTACTGTGAAGCATGGGGGTGGAAACATCATGCTTTGGGGCTGTTTTTCTGCAAAGGGACCAGGACGACTGATCCATGTAAAGGAAAGAATGAATGGGGCCATGTATCGTGAGATTTTGAGTGAAAACCTCCTTCCATCAGCAAGGGCATTGAAGATGAAACGTGGCTGGGTCTTTCAGCATGACAATGATCCCAAACACACCGCCCGGGCAACGAAGGAGTGGCTTCGTAAGAAGCATTTCAAGGTCCTGGAGTGGCCTAGCCAGTCTCCAGATCTCAACCCCATAGAAAATCTTTGGAAGGAGTTGAAAGTCTGTGTTGCCCAGCGACAGCCCCAAAACATCACTGCTCTAGAGGAGATCTGCATGGAGGAATGGGCCAAAATACTAGCAACAGTGTGTGAAAACCTTGTGAAGACTTACAGAAAACGTTTGACCTGTGTCATTGCCAACAAAGGGTATATAAC